TCGATGTCAGGTCGATGTCAGGTCGATGTCAGGTCGATGTCAGGTCGATGTCAGGTCGATGTCAGGTCGATGTCAGGTCGATGTCAGGTCGATGTCAGGTCGATGTCAGGTCGATGTCAGGTCGATGTCAGGTCGATGTCAGGTCGATGTCAGGTCGATGTCAGGTCGATGTCAGGTCGATGTCAGGTCGATGTCAGGTCGATGTCAGGTCGATGTCAGGTCGATGTCAGGTCGATGTCAGGTCGATGTGGGGTCCATGTCAGGTCGATGTGGGGTCGATGTCAGGTCGATGTCAGGTCGGTTAGAACTATTTCATGGTCCAAGTGTATTTGCTCTCTCAGTTCTCCAATGAAAAGGACAGTAAAAGACTAAGTACCCTACCAACATTTTACCTCTATAAAGACAGTCCTTTGTGACTTGTAGTAGTCCGTCAATGTTATTGCATATTTCATTGTTTCTAATGAAATTTCCGCAGGGAAGTGACGCTCATCTCCTTGCCTCCAATCAACCCTTGAGAGCTTTACCAAGCATTCCATACAACACATGAAGGGCGCCAGCGWGTCTACACTTCAGAAGCAAAATGTTGTWGTTAACTATTCTGTTTATAGTGATCATCATCGAGTCATGGCTGTTTCTTTAMAGCGATATACATTTGTCTCTTGTCACTGTTGAATGGTTCAACTGTTTCGCACGTGAAGTTCTTCTGTTTTTGTTTTCGAGATAACTTCTTTGCCATCGAGAACATTTCACATATTTCATTGTTATTGTTTGGTGTTGATGTCTTGAATTCTATTCTCTCTTCGTCAGATTGTTTTTYTTCCAAACTCAACTTTGCAAACTCTTTGGTGAGACTTCTCACCAGACTTCTAAACACCACTTTCTTAAAAGGTCCATATTCTTTTCCATTTCTCAACTTCATCTCTTGTGACAGTTTTTTTGCGACGGGGCTCCATGACCGATTTTCTTATTTATWAATTCGCTCAAAGACGAGGGATTAACTTTCTTATTGAAAACCTGGAATGGACGCCGTTAAAGATCTCGTCTTCTCATTGGTCGCGGAACATAACAATAAGCGTTGTTACCGACGCCGTCACGGCGGATTAACAGACGGTCGCTCCTCATTGGTCGCGAGGCGCTTCGTCGCTTTTCATTGGCTGCTCCTCAGCTCCTCCGCTCCTCATGGCGCAGAAATCCTATTTGTATACTACTGGCTTCCCCTTTGATCTACACTTGCTCTTAACCATGTATCAACATTCAGAGAATTTAAATGTAACAATCAAACTCCTTAAAGGACATTTTGCGTTAACAATTGTCATAAGAATAATGATGTATAAAATGTTTACAAAGCGTTTCATAAATGCAATTTATCAAATATTTTTATTTTTAGGGGGAAACATTCAATGCTGTTTGTCTATACAAGAACATGAAAAAAATACGAAAACTGAGTGGATCAATCTCCTGAATTAGTTATTGACATAGATTATAGTATATACCTTTTTTCCAAACCCCTTCTCAATTTCCAAAACTATATCCTCCATCAGTAGTTTTTGGTGCTAACATACAAACTGCAAACATATGGAATTCCTTGCAGAAATACTCGTCTTAGGATTCTTTAGAGATAACATCAGGGCCATCAACAAGATCAATCGCTGAAGGTGCTGCACCACCAATGTCCATTGGTGTCCATTAATTCTGTGACTTTTCCCTTTAATTGTTCCTTTATGGGGGACATTAAGAATTAACATATTACTGGATAAAAAAGTGAAAACCTCACACATGTAACTGCAAGGTTTTGGTATTGATCAAAGAATATCTTTATGTAGCATTTCACAAATTGTTAATGTTGTTTTTAGTAAAATATATGGTTATCTCTTTGACAAAATACCAGTAGCAACTGTAGAGATTTGTCAGCCTGCTTGGAAGACACTGGAGTTTGTCTTGAAAAAAGTTGATGTGCGGTTGAATTCTAGCCAATTCAAAATGCCTTCGCATTTTGATTACTGCTGGAAGGCATGATGTTGATGCCTTGTTTTTTACAATCAGTTTGTTCTTCAATAGAACTGTYATCCTGTCCTACCACATACTTYTTAAAGCATATTGGGATTGTCCACTCAGATTATAAACTATAAGATCTAAGAWCTAGTTTTCACAATAATTAATACTGTTCGTAATCACTCTATATAAACATTCATAAGGTAACTGCTCACTATATCTTTTAAGATAATAAATTAAAATGGAATAATCAACAAGTTGATGAATTATTAGTTTTAGACACTTTTGACATTATTCTGCATTTACTGTAAATTGTAGTGTTGTTGAATATAATTGTAATATTATTGAACTCATGACAAAAAGGAAGTATTAATCAAAGGTGAATGGACTATTGAGTTGCCAGYAAGCYCTCACCTGATTAGTCAAGACAATCATACTTTTATTGCATAACCGCAAATGTTTTCACACATTTTTTTTGAAAAAGGTGTAAATACCATTCCTAAACTAAGTTATGTGCTAAACATTTTTTTTGTCGTTGTAATGCTCTAAAGTAGAAAAAATTGACCTAATTTGCATAATTTCCGACGGAAAAGTATATAACTTTTTACTCCCTGATAGATGTCTCTAATTACGGGAGGGAGAGTYAGCATTTGTTCTTAAAGTCTTCGAAGGTGACTGGGCACCTTAAGCTCGCTTATCTAAGGTGCCAGTGACGACTTCAATAAATGCAGGTCAGCAGCATTCACTTAGAAGGCTCCAGGTACGGATAGTAAGAGCGAATAGTTAGGCCAATATATTAACCTACAACTGCTGGTATGTCCAGGAGTGCCTTCTTGAGGTTTAAATGTTCTTGGTGYGAGTCAAATTCTCTGGAGGTTGGCAGTGGATGAGATTGTTATGGAACTTGTAAAATAGTATGGACTGGTTGCGTAGTCTCCTGTCTTCAAGTGTGTCCCAGCCTGGGGTTTTAACTAACTGGGTAGTACTTGTGGTTAGCCGGTAATCACGGCAGACAAACCGAGCAGCGTTTTTTGGCACTTTCTCAAGACGGTTCWTGTATTAGAGTTGGTATAGGGGCTCCAGGCAGAAGACGCATATTCAAGCRATGGTCTCACCAGCKCTAGGTATGCTCTCTCCTTCACCTCTCTTGTGTTAGATCATGAAACTACTGTATGTTGYTTGCGTTCTTTATTGATCTTCTTCGCAGTATCGTTTGCAATCATGTATCTWATTATATATTGGGTGTGACGTAATAGAATATATTAGATTACGACATTCCTCCCCCTTCGGTTAATGATCAATTATTAAGAATTATTGAAGTGATAAATGTCTTTCTGCTGATCAATGTTCAATTAATAATCAATTGCTTGATATTGTACTGCTAGTAATAATTCCTCTAATCTCAAATCATGTTAAATTGATAACTGGAACAATTGTTTGTGTCATATTGTTCATTTGCTGTAGTCTTTGTATTTCCCATCTAAGGTTGATTTCCTTTGTCGCACAGGGGGGTACTCCCCGCAAATTTGGGTGGGGGTGTGCCACTGGGACATCAAAACCCTGATCCTGTTCCAGAGTGAAATCGCTGAAAACAATACCCTGTTCCAGAGTAAAATCGCTGAAAACGATATCCTGTTCCAGAGAAAATCCAGCACTAGCCTACGTGTAGACCGAATTTTTACCCCGTGAATTTTTACCCAGCATCAATAATACCGGAATTAAACCCTGACCCTTTTCCAGAGAAAATTCGTTGAAATCGATAGCCTGTTCCAGAGTAAAATCGCTAAAAACGATAGACAGTCCCAGAGTAAAATCGCTGAAAACGATACCCTGGTTGGCGGCACGTCCCCGTATAGCGAATATAGGGGAGTACCCCCCTCCCCCCGGGCTTTGTCGTTCAGATCTTCTTGGTTGTGTTGTGTGATTGGTCTCAGCAGTTTGTTGGTCCATCTCTGCTGGTACTTGTGCTATTGCTTGTGCAGCTGCTGGTGTTTGGGCTGGTGCAGATACTGGTTTTGGGATAGCACGTTATGTTTGTTCGGTGTTAGAGTCATCTGGTAGTTGTTTTGTTGTGACTGTTCTTAAGTTTAAACTTTGAAGCATCTTGGAAGATTGTACGGTCATCGTTTATTCTTCTTGCCGTGATCTGTGATCCCTTGATCGTGGTGACAATGTAGATAAATGGTTCGTATGGTGTCTGTCCTTTCCTTTTGTTCTCTCTCTTCACTACTACCGTGTCTCCGTGTTTCAGCGTGTGTTTCTTTGCCTTGTGTCGTTTGTCGTGATACGCCTTGTGTCGTTCTTGTGTTGTATGCTGCGTCGTTCTCCCTTACTTCTTCATCTTTGTCGGGTCTGTTTTGAAGTGGTCTAGCTTTGTTCGTAGTTAACGTCCCATTAGCAGTTGGTATGGTGGCATTCTTGTTGATGGGTGTGGCGTGCGTCTGTATGTTTGTAGCAAGTCTACAATAGCTCCGTCTTGTGTCGCGATTGCGTCGATCTTGTTCACTAATTTGTTGAATCCTTCTACTTGACCTTGCGCTTTCGGGTGTAGAGGAGTGATGCGTTTGTGCCTRAATCCCATTTCATCTGTGAACTCATGGAAGGCGTGTGAGTTTAAGGGTGGTCCATTGTCTGTCTGTACTACTTCCGGGATGCCGTGTATGGAAAACACTTTCTTTAGTTTCTTTCTTGTGCTTTCAAACTCTGTCATCCTAGTGCCGGTATCATGAGTACTGCTCCCTTATCACGAGTGCGTATTCACCATTTGGGAATGGTCCACAGAAGTCTACTTCTACTGTCGTCCATGGTCTCTCTGGGAGTTCTGTCATCTTTGCTGGTTGTACATTTGTTGTCACTGTGGCGATTTGGCATTCAAAGCAAGTGTTAACAATGTTCTCAATCTGCGAGTTCATGCCTGGCCACCAGTATTTGTGTCTGATCATCTCTTTGGTTTTTGATATTCCTAGATGTCCTTGTTTGTGCGCTATACGTACGATCTTTTCTCGTAGTCGTTGTGGCGGTATTATCCAGTTGAGCGGGAGTAAGACATTCTCCGCTTCGTAGATTTCGGCCTTGAGAWCCGTGTATGGTTTCAGCACAGGGTCATTCTTCTTCCCGACTCCGGTTTCCATGGCGTGTTTTAGATGTTGTAGTTCTGTGTCAKTTTTTGTCTCTGCTGCAATTTTGTCTAGAACAATTGCATGGTCTGTTGTTGTCACTGCTTTCACGTGTTGCTCTGYKTTGTCGTGGCYKTTATCCGGYAGTGGWTGTCTCGACATGTAGTCAGCTACGTTTTCTTTACCTGGGATGTGTGTCATGGTGAAGTCTAGATTTTGCATCTTCATTACCATCCGCTCGATCCTTGGTGGGAGTTTTGCGTGTGGGTTGTTGAACAGAGGTAAAAGAGGCTTGTGATCCGTAGCGATCTTGAAATGTTTGTCCCCTAGTAGATATATTTGAAGTCGTGGCGTTGTGAATTGTACTGATAGGGCTTCTCGTTCGATCTGTGAATATCTGCTCTCTGTGTCTGTGAGGGTGCGACTCACGTAGTGAACTGGCTGGTACCCATGTTGGGTCTTTTGAAAGAGTCCTCCTCCGAGTCCTGTTGGGCTGCCGTCGCAGATGACAAGAGTCTCTCTTTCAGGGTAGAATGGTACAAGTACAGGTGATGATGTTATTGCGTGTTTCAGGTCTTCAAATGCTGATTGTTGTCCATCAGTCCAGCTGAACTTTACTTTGTCTCTCGTCAGTCATCGTAGTGGTTCGCATCTGCTTGAGAAGTTGCTGATGTAGCGTGAAAGGTATGCTAACATCTGTAAGAATGAGATAAGTTCTTCTCTGSTTTTCGGTGGTTGGCAACTGTTCACTGCTTTAATCTTGTCTGGGCTGGGGTGTAGTCCATCAGCTGTGAATAAGTGTCCATGGAAGTTGAGTGTGGTCTTCCCGAACTCACATTTGTCTTAACGTATGGTAAGGTTATGATCTTCGATGCGTTGCAGTAGCATTSTGAGGTTTTCGTTGTGGTCCTCCCAGTTAAGTCCTCCGATCATAATGTCGTCTCTGTTGTTGAGTAYACGAGGAATTCCGGAAATGATCTTAGCCATTTCTGAATCAAACAGATCCTGGCTGTTCAGTCCGCCAAACGCTAAGCGTTTGTATCGATAATTTCCCCAGGGAGTGGAGAAAGTSATTATTCGTCTCGAATCGTCGTCAAGTACAAATTGGTGATAGCCRTGATTCATATCCAGTTTGCTGAATACTTTACATCCATTAAATTCGCTTAAAAAGCCCTCGGTGATTGGCGCTTGAACTTGTCGTGTTCTGAGCATCGATTTGTTGACAACTCTGAGGTCTAAGCAGGCTCGTATATCAGTTGGGTTTTTGGGTTTCGGTTGTACTACTAAGGGTGAACACCAGATGATCGCTTCGTGTTGTGGGACATCTTCGATGATGTCGTTTTGTACAAATTCCTCGATGCGGTTCTTGAGTGTCGTCGTGGTTTGTGGGCGATAGGCGTTGCATCGTCTTTCATCGGTATAGAGATCTGTATCTCTTGTCCGTCACGCATAGCTTTGCCAATTCCGGTGAATCTCGCTTTGTATCTGTCGAGTATCTCATTGAGTTTGACGTTCTTGACATCCTTTTGTTGTTGTACACTTCTGACGTTTCTGTTGGGGTCTTTAATTAAGGCCGCCTGTAGCGTCGATCAATACCATTCCGAGCTCTTCGAGTGTTTCTCGTCCCAGAAGTGTTGGAGAGTCGATTGTGCCTTTGATAATAACGAGTGTTGTGCAAACTGTTCGTGTTTGGTTTGTTATTATGACGTTTGCTTCTCCAAGTACGGGTAGATCTTCTTTGAGAGCTTTGAGTTTGTGAAGGCTTGAGTGTCACTTCCGGTGCGTGTTGTTGTAGTTTCGTAAATTGGTTTTCATCCATAATATTGGCATCTGATCCAGTGTCGGGTTCCGTTTGAATATTTATGCCATTGATTTACACTATGTTTTTCCGCTCTTGTTGTGCTGACTTATGTGGTGAACGTTCAGGTGTTCCATGAAGCATGCCTCGTCGCTATCGTAGCTGTCATCGCTTTGGTGTTCTCGATTGTTGTTGCGTAAGCAGTTATCCTCGATGTGCCTTGTTCGTGCTTGTCATTGTGGAGTCGTATCATGTTTTATCGCGTCGTTTCTTTGGTCGCGATAGTGTGGACTTCTTTGTTGGTTGTTCCGGCGTTGGTTGTTTTCTTGGCCTTGTTGTTTTTGCGGTTTCCCGACGCGCCCAGTAATTGACTTTTCCAAAGTTCTTGCACGTGGCACCCATTGCTGGGCATGTTTCGTTCCTTTGATGTCGCCGTGAACTGCCACATCTGAGACATGATGACCTTTGGCTACCTTGGGTTTTCGGTCGCTTTGTTTCAATTTTCTTGATTCTTTGGCTGTTTCTTTCAGAGTCAAGTTGTTTGCTTATTGCACCGACTTGTTCTGTCGTTTGTTCATCGAGTGCAGTTTCTGTTAGTATCTTGCTCAACGTGAGGTTGTCTTTGATGCCTTTTGTTCTGATTTTGTTGTTAATTGTCCTAATTGAGTGGTCTCGAATAGCGTCGTCCTCGTGGGAACCGTAGTCACATTTCTTCGCTATGTCTCTTTGACATAAAATGTCCGCCGAGTTTTCTGATGAGGACTTTGTAGACATCATCTTCAGCCTGGCTCTCTGCGTCTAGTAGCGCTTCGTCGGTGTCTACGAGGTCCCCTCCTCCGTAGATTAGTAATCCGTCCTTCTTTGTAGCGGCATCGCTGATTCCGAAGAAACGAAACTATCTTTTTTGTAACGCTGCCATTTCACAGCTGTGACGTTTGCATCAGTTTGCTTTACAAATGTTTTGATGTTTAGGTTTCGCTGTATGACCACGTTTGCGCCGTTGCTTTCCGCGTTGCTTGGTGGATCGGACATCCTCTCCGTTAAGCGTCCGTTCAGTCCTCGTCTCCAATGTTAGATCATGAAACTACTGTATGTTGCTTTCGTTCTTTATTGATCTACTTCGCAGTATCGTTTACAATCATGTATCTAATTATATATTGGGTGTGACGTAATAGAATATATTAGATTACGACATCTTGAGCACAGTYTCAGGGTGCGTCTAAGTAGCCCAAGTGTCTTGCTGGCTTTGGAGGTGATCTTTCGACCTTGTCGAAAACCGTGCTCTGCATTGGACAACATATTGAACCTAGTTAGATGTTTGTTCCGGTGGCTCTGGAAATTGTGTTCCATTGTCCTACAACAAAGACAAGTCAAAGAAATTTGGCGATAGTTCAAGGGGTCTTTGACGGGTTCAACCATCGCTGTTAACCAGTCATTGGGTAGAGCACCGATGTTATAGCTCTGCTGGAAAATGGCTGTTAACATCCCAGAGCCCTCCCTCGATAACTCTTTTGGACAACGTTGGTAGATGCCATCAGGTCCAGCTGACTTAGATGGATTAAGTTGAGCTAGGAGTTTCTCCACACCAGACTGGAAAAATTCAATTTCACTGATGTCTTCAATGTTGCTAACACAGGGATTACTGGTAGGAAGGATATCATTATCTTGGGTAAAAATACTCTGGAAGATGTTCAGTATATCTGCTTTGTTACTATCAGAGATGTACACGGAATCTCCAGAGCACAGCGTTGGTATGCCTATGTTTTCACACCTTGCCTGTTTCACGTAGCTCCAAAACTTCATTTGATTTTCGTGTAAGCTCCCGCCAATAACTGAGTCAAGGTAGTTGCTATGGGCTGCTTTAACTAGATTTACCACCTTGTTTCTTTGATGACGGTAATGCATCCAAACAGCAGAAAGTTTGTCACAGCTCCTCTTTGCCTTTTTGAAAAGACGGTCCTTCTTGCGCATTTGGCGCTTAATCGAGTGTGAGGTCAACGGAAGAGAAGGTCTTGCGCGAGTCATCTTCCAGGGTACATGCTTGTCAATTCCATCGATAAGGATGTTCTTGAACTAGTTTTCCTCGAGTTTGTTGTGAGTACACTGGTCAAGAAACTCTGTAGACGATGTCATGGTCACTCAAGCACTCCTTAACCTGGATATATGAGACCAGGGAGGGTACAGAGGATAGAACACGGTCCAAGGTCTTCAGAGACGCTGGTCTGGTGGGAACAGTAATGTACTGCATAAGGGCGTGGTCTCTGATCATGTCCAATAACTTGTGCATTAGTGATGTGGTGGTGTGGGAAGTGACTTCTGGAGGGTCGCATTTCCAGTTATTCCCCACAATTAAAATCACTGCTGACCACTATGTTGGAATGGGATTTCTTGTTCGAATGAAATACCTTGAAAAGAGACTCAGACAGGTAATCAAGGCGGGTGGAAGGAGAGTCAGGCGGTCTATAAAAGGAGCAGATGTGTAGTGTTTTGGTTTTAGCAAGCTGTATTGACGCCCACAGTGATTCGTTCTTTGAATTCGTTGTAAGAACTTGGAGCTCCAAGGCTGAAATACAAAACTTGACCACAATAAATTATCCACCTCCCCCTATGTCGCACCTCTCTTTCCTGAAGACGGTATATTCTACCGGGAACGAGGAATGTGTTGGGTCATGGGGCTGAGTTTTGACTCACAACCAAAGATGACATCGGGGTCGTGAGTAGCAATAATACTGGCTAAAACCGCAGACCGATCAGAACTCTGGATGCTGTTACAATTGTCCTCCAGTTGGGCGGAGT